TCTCTCTCACTCTCTCTCTCTCTCTCTCTAAATAGATCACAATGATTCCAGTTCTAAATTAATCCTACTCGCTGATTACAATGACCATGGTACTCAGAAGATTGTCCGAATTGATACACTACTGCCCGGATTTGATGAGATCGCTTGTCATCACACAGACTGCCCAATACGTGTCAATTATAATAACACTCTTGTAGTGAATAGCACTTTACCCAAGGATTTACTGCCTAATGCCAAACGCATACAACTACTGACAACTCTTGAAAATCAGCTAGATACTCAAATTTATTGCACCATTGTTGAGTTGGATTTAATTGACTAATTAATCAGTATTAGTTAATTTTATTTAATTTATTAAAATTCTATTTTAAATTGCAAGAATATTATTAAATTATTTAAAATATTTAAATCAAAAAGTATTGTATTTAATTAAGAATTATTTAAGTAATTTTAAAATTTGTAATTAATTAAATTAATTAAATCAAGAATTTAGCATTGTTTATTAATTATAATTTTACATACGTTTATCTCAGCCTAACAAATTATATTAATTAAAAAACATAATAAACAATAAACACGTTCATTAGGCTTAACGGCACTATCATAAAATTGATTTAATTTATTAACAATAATATTTGCATCAATTGTTTTGCATATTATGACTAAAATATACATTTTAGATGAGGGTTTATGTGTAATGCAACTTATATAATAATTTTTATATTTTTTAAATAGTAAATTTTTAGTTTCATGATCAAGTGTATCATATTGATTATATAATATATCGGCTATTCTAGACTATAATTTATAGTTTCTTAGTTAACTTAGAATTGTTTATGACTTTAATCAAAATGTGACAATATTTCAGATAGATGTATTATATAAAATCCACTTTTAAAATAGTACAATTTAACATTAGTTATTTGATATAAAGTACATACTTAAGTTTCATAAATAACTTATAAACTTATAATCTGAGAAATAAATAAGTTTTAATAACCGATAATATTATACTCAAGTAATTAATAAATAACAAACGTTTAATTATTCACAACTTAATTTATGTTACATAAACAAAGAACTGAATAAGCTAGTATAATTAGTAAACAAGAATATTTATGTTGCAAGTATTGTTTACGGTTTGATTTGTCTGGAGTTAGTATTTGTTTTATTTACAAAGTTAGATTACTTGTTAGTCGTTTAATACAAAAAATGTTTTTTATCAGTTAGATGAGTTGTCTAAATTTAACCTTGATCAAACAGTTGGTTTCATGTATTATACCGCACATTCTGTTAAATAATTGATTGTCAATAGATCTATCATGGTGATAAAATATGCATAATTAATAAATCATCTGACAATTACCCACATTATTTAAGTAAAACTTAGAAGTTAGTAATTTATATTTTAAAAATTAATATTAAATCATTTAGCAAATTTAATAATCATATTTGTTAAGAATAGTGTATTACAGCAAATAAATATTTAATTTTAATTAAAAATTATTTTATAAAAGTTTCTTTGTAAACTAAAAATATTATTTTAATAATTATAACTAATAAAATAATGACAGATAAAACTAAATAATTAATTTAAAGTAAAGTATTAAGTACAGTATTCAAGTGCTATTATTGCATTACAATACTTGTAATACATGTTATTGAATTATCAAGGTTGTCAATACAGTATATCGTATCATAATAGGGTTAAGAGAACATTTATAAAAATTAATAATACTTAATTTAACTTATACTGGTAAAATGTCTTATTAAATTAAAATTAAATTATCACAATATAATAAATTATATTCGGTTTAACTAAAGGTTGTTAATTATTAATATGAAATTATTTATTTTAAAAATTATTTATAAATAGCTAAATTGCATAGTTAAACTAAAAGTAATTTTTTGTAATCATAACATAATTCAAGCGAATTTTACTCTCGGTGGGGGTTAATCTATATTTGTTAATTTCTAGGCATAAGAGTGCAATCGTTATCATTTCATTATGTTTTTACCTAGGGCAAACCAACACTTTTATAACACAAATTAAACTAAACAATTGTAATAAATAAACACATTAATTTATTGCAAATGTCAATAGATGCAAAATTATTTTTATACATACTATAAAAATTATTAATCAGTAAATGTAGTATTAATTTTGGTATAAATTATTTTCGTATGTTTAATGTATTATCTGACTACTGTCCCAACAAACTGTAATACCTTGGTGACGTATGCAAAACATCTACCTGCAATTAACAAAATGTATAAATACGAAATGAAATCAGCATTAAGTTTATTCAGTTGAGAGTATTTATAGAAAAACAATAAAAAATGAAATTTTTCGTAGCGTTTTCCGCGCTATTCATCGCCGCAAATGCGGTCCCATTTTTGCGGCAATTGAACGAACCGTTTGCCGGCAAAACATGGGTCCTGTTGTGCGCCAGCGCTAACGGTTGGGAAAATTACGGCATGGAGGTTAGTTGCCTAGATCTCTCTTTCTCTCTCTCTCTCTCTCTCTCTCCCCCTCTCTCTCTCTCTCTCTCTCTCTCCTTTAANATCAGCAAAATAGACAAATATATAATCATTAGGTCCGCTATTAACCACTCACTTACACTCAATTAATTATGTATTTATTTTCAAAAATTTAAATTGCTAATATTAGGCCGACGTATACCACGCCTACCAAGTGATAAAAGCTCATGGCATTCCCGATGAGAACATTGTAGTCATGCATTACGACGACATCGCTCAGCACCCAAACAATCCCGATAAGGGAATTGTGGTGAACCGAGTGGGCGGACCCGATGTCTACAAAGGCGTACCCAAACACTATATCGGCAAAGAAGTCACTCCCCAGGTATGTAGCTAGTATACATAATTTATACAATATTACAATGTTTTATACTGATGCAATTTAAAGTACTGTACAGTACATTAACATAGTAATTATTATTAGTAATTAAAGTTTTAGTTATAAATACTTATTAATTGTAATGTGTTTTTTTGAACAGAACTTTTTGAAAGTGCTGCAAGGTAATGCCACGCTTAAAGCGCAGGGTAAAAAAGTGATCGAGAGCGGTCCTAACGATCGTGTGTTTGTCTATTTGGATGATCATGGTGCTGATGGTAAGAACAAATTATTTTTGTTTTGTATTATTAATGTTTGTTGAACATGTTAATTAATATTCTAAATTTATAACCATGAATGTAAATTAAACAGAGATTGTAGCGTTCCCAAGTGGTGACGTGCTTCACGCCAAGGACCTAAACCAGGCGTTCAAAGACATGAACACTAAGAAACAGTTCAATCACCTCGTGTTTTATTTGGCCGCTTGCGAAGCTGGTAAAATAAATTATAGTTTATTTCTTATTGTTAAATATTGAATTTTCTATTCATAATAAATAATAATTCACATAGGTTCAATGTTTGCCAAATTGTTGCCCAATGACATTAATGTGTACGCCGTGTCGGCCACTAAACCCGATGAGCTCGGCTGGAAAGCCAACTCCGAATGGAAAAAATATAACACCTGGCTCGGTATTGACATAATTGAGTCAATAACTGTCGGTCACTCTATAATTAATAAACTTATTTATGTGCATAGCCGTATATTTCGCGGTGACCTGGCTGGAAAACAGCGAGACCGCCGATCTGACCAAAGAGAGTGTTGAGACACAGTTCCAGTACATTAAGGAGCGTAACAATTTCACCATGGACGGTGAGTTGCACTGGCAACACGCTCAGGAGTATGGAGATTTGACCATTGCCAATAAGGCCGACGTTAGCGAGTATATGGGTATGTAAATAATTATAATTTTAATATTAATTAACATTTATTGACATTTATTTATGGCATACTGTGCACTTTTTTAAATCAAGGTGATAAAAAGGTCCAATTTGATTCGGCTACTGTGGCGCCCACTGGATTCTCTCTATCACGTGATGCGGCCATAAATATCGTCCGCAAACAGATTGAGACTACCGATGATTTTGCGGCAAAACAACAGTAAGTTTTATTATAATTAAATGTGAATTAAATTAATAATTATTATGATGGATTTTAAATTAATTAAAATTATTGCAGGCATGTTGAAAAATTGGCAGCAATGCTATCCCGACGAGAATTGTTGGACAAACAAATTGAGGAATACGTGAATACTTTGCCCGGAATTGACGCCAATGTTGTGCTCAATGAGAGACTAGACCTCAATAATAGAGAGTGTTATATAAAACTTGTCGACACTTTCTCTCACAACTGCTATAATATCGGAGAGGTTTGTGAATAATTATATACAATTTTTATTATTATAATTATATATTTTGTTAATTTTAATCACAGAATACATACTCTTTGTATAAAATGAAAACATTGGTGAATATCTGCGAAACTACTGAGACTGAAGTCGCTGTCAATCATTTGATTCAATACTGCGATAGCATTGAGAAACCCATTGAAAAGATTCTATAAATGTTGTTATAATTAATTGTTATTTTTCATAATTGAATTATGATTATTATTATAAAATAAAGCAAAAATTAAACCAAGTATAAGTTGTACCAACCAAGTACATTCATAAGTTGTTTAAATAATTACACGGTCCTATAAACAATACTATTTATATTGAATTGTAGTTACAATTCATTTTCTTATATAATAATAATTTGAGAGAGAGAGAGAGAGATGTTCATAGGTAATTTTAATTCAATATTTTATATCAGTGTATTGATATTATGTAATGTGCCCTTGTAAAAAATAGTCTATATTAGTGTTAACAAAACGCAATGCTCATTTTCTCAGTATATCAACATTAAATATTAATTAGATATAATTCTGGCTAATTCTGCAAATCCACTTCATTATACTGATTAGTTTATTACAAATAATCTAGAACAAACTTAAATCCCTGCGTATAAGTTGTCCTTGTATGTACACGTAATATTAAGTACAAAACGTAGTATTAAGTACAAAACTTATTTTATTTATAAGTGTTAAATAAAAATTATATTATTTCCATTATAGTGTTTCGTCTTTCTGCATATTGTTTATCTATATACAATTCAATATAAAAATATAAAATTTAAACAACATAATTTAAAATTGTTGTTAAAAACTTAATTAATAATGTATTTAACACTATGTAAGTATTATTAAACCTTAAATTTAGCATTATTTATGCATATTTATTAATTTAACGTACATGGTAGTATACATAACACATCTTGCTTCTATTTAAAACAATCTAGTCAATTTTCTGGCATTCATTACTCTATTAACAAACAGCGTATGTCAGCAAACAAAATGTCCCAGTATCCCAATTAAATCACCATGTACATTCTTCGAAACCTATCCGAGCTGTGCCATAAACTGCGGCGGAGACGACCCGTTTGATTTGCGGGCCATTTTAGGCGACATCAGTCGACAACTGCCGGCAGACAACAAACTATTTAACTATTTTCGTACGGATAACACGGCTATAGAGGAACTGCCGGCCAACGCGTTCGCTGGCCTACAATTCAAGGAGCTATTCATACACCAGGCCTACGGTTTGAAACGGATAAACCGGTGGGCGTTCAACGGCACTGAAGGTAACATAACTACCGTTTACATCGATGGAGTGCACGTCACGGAACGGGTAGTCGACGAGTGGGACCTGTTTGGGGCCATCCATACCCTACACGGGCTAACCGGGCTAAACATCGAGAACACTAGAGTAACATCGCTGCCCACCCGTGCCATCTCTGGCCACCAATCGCTGGAGGATATACTGATTGCCAACAATCCGATCAACACGATAGGCACCGGCGCTTTCGACGACTTACCGGCGCTACGGCTGCTGTTTATACGTAACAATCCGATTGAAAAAGTGGCCGAACGGGCGTTTACTATAAGCCGCGACAACAGTACAGCCCAACACTCGGTGGACATTGAGCTGACCGGCGATTCGCTGACCGACCATTCGTTCGCCGCCCGGGCTTTCGATGACATCAAACGCCGCGCGGGTGTTGTGCTCAATGAAAACGCTGTCCGCCATTTGAATCAAACTGCTTTTGAGGGACTGTTGGCCGCGAATCCCGATAATTATGTTACCGATCCAAACATTGATTGCGCCGGTAGTGGTAACCAATGGATTAAAGAGAAGTACCCTAAGGCGTGGAATGCTTTACAGTGCAAGTAATCATCGTGGTACAACGATTGACCATGGTTATGTTGTATACGTACACAACCTAATTGAAATAATGTTATTTATAGAATTTTTAATTAAACTTAATTTCTAATTAAAATAACTTATAAATACTAAATAATAAAATATAAATATTAATAATAAAACAAAAATTAAATTTGTTATATTGATACTTTAATCATTTAATTACACTGGTGACAACTCTATGGCAGCGTTTTAAGCCCCCAATTAACCAGTTAATCTCCCAATACGTTGAGTTATAACAAAGATAATTAATACAATTTATATTGATAAAATAAAAATATAATTTTTTTTTTGTAAATGTAACTAAATTATATTTATTGGAAATTTATTGCCATTGGTTTGGTTACAGAATTGTATCAGCAATTGGTTGACAGCATTGATGTCCGCATCACTCGATTCACGCATTTCTTCGCATATATTCACAAATATATACAGTTTTCCCAAAACGTATGGATTCTGTTGTAAATTAATAATTAATAATTAATACTTGTTTAAAACATAAAATTAATAAATTGATACCTTATTTAAATTAAAGCAATTTTTGTGAAAACTGTCGACAAGTTTTCGATAACACTGTCTATTATTGAGCTCTTGTTTAGTGTTTAGAATAGCATTGCTATCGACTGTCAGTAAGTGTTGAATACTGTTCACGTAATCAGTCATATGTTTGTCCACATATTGTCTACTATTCAATTGTTTTTGCAACTTTTCAGTATAGCTATAAAAACATATTTTTTATTTTACTTTTTTAAACACAAAAATATTTAGTAAATAAAATACCGTATTTTCTCAGTGATACTCAGCGTTTGTTTGACAGCACTCTTAGCCATAAATAATGGCAAATCTCTAGTGTTTACCCGACTGTAGACTTCATTGACTGAGTCGTCAATACTTTCCATGATTTTTTGTTTACCTAAACAACATTAAAAGTTATTTATTAATTAAAACTAAACATAAGATTATATTAAAATACCAAAGAAATATGATAATGGTAACTCGGCTATTGATAAATCACCATATTGTTGCGCTTGTTGAGTATCACCGGGTTCTACAGGTCGGTCACTATTGTTAGTAAATGCAAATATATTGTCAAACTGTTGCTGCAGTGTTGCCGATGTTAGTCGCTGGATATCCATCATCCAGTAATATCCAAATAATGTTCCTGGATAATAAAATTAATATTTATATGCTTAATGATATTTGAATTTGTACTCTATACAAAATATTTAAATAATTACAAAGTTTAAAAACAAAACCATTAAAAACACTATTTACATTTAATTTCACGTTTTTATAAAGAAGTTGCATGGTATAAATAAATAGCTTTATATTATTATTTTAATATAATTAGAGAATTAATATTACCATAACAAGCTTTTAACTGTGGATCGTCACAAAACGCTTGCCAACTCACCTGGTCCGGCGAGCTGGCCGACACAGCGTACGCGTTTATATTATTGGGTAACAATTTGTCAAACATTGAGCCTGGTGATAAGTTTAAAATTATTATTAATGTTAACTAATAAATAATTTATTTATTTATATATACGGCTCTGGACACGACTATGTGATACATATAATGAGCTGTAGCACCTAGACCAATTGAGTAATCGACAAACCGACTTTGGGAGCATGTAACCAGATAATGGACCATGAAAAAATGTATTGAAAGTTTTTGCAAAATGTACCTGGTTATATGAGTAATTTTAACTCAAAGTGGACTAAATTTCCATAATGCGTAATGTTAAACTTCAAAAAATTTCAAAAAACTTTCTTTAATATAAACAATATATACACCAAAATGTTCATTGCCAAAAATAATTTTATGTGTTTCGGGAATTCTATAATAAATGACGTACTCTGCATAATATAGCTAATAAGTTGTAGGAAATTTAAAGTTTAAAATGTTAACCATTTAAAATTTACTTGTTCGATTCTAACGATTTATACATCAAATTGATCAGAATCAAATTTCGAAAAAAGTAATTTCTCAGATTTGCTATATTTTGATTTTTTAAAAAATATATGATTTCTCTCGACAAATTTGGTCAAATATGGACTAAAATCGGTTGTGATTTTTCCTAATTCATGAGGAAATATAATCATATCTAAAAATAATATTTAATTAAATATATTTTACATTAATTGAGTGGAAGGAGAGAGAGAGAGAGAGAGATTTTAATAAAACAACATTTTAAAACAAACCTGTTGATCCATGATCAGCAAAATAGACAAATATATAATCATTAGGTCCGCTATTAACCACTCGCTTCCCACTTCGGGCCAATGTCTGGTCCCCTTTAAGTAAACCCAAAAAATTTTAGGTAAATAAAAGATAACAATTTATATATTAATTTAGCAAATATTATAGTAACTTACGGTAGGGTTGACGTCATCGCCGGTATAGTGTTTGGGCACTCCGTGATAGACATCACTGCCATTCACTTCATTAAATACTTTGCCAGGAGTTGGGTTGGCAACATTGTTGGCAAGATCGTCGTAATGCATAACTATAATGTTTTCATCGGGAATACCGTTCCCGCGAAACATATGGTAAACGTGGTATACATTAGCCTATTTTAAATATGGTAGATTTTCAAATGATATTTATGAATAATCAGCGAGTTTACTTACGGTAAAACCATAATTAGTCCAATCGTTCGCGCCAGAGCATAATACTACCCAAATTTTGCCTGTGAAATTAGCATGTTCGCTTTTGCATGACATGTATAAACATGAAAAAAGTATTAAAAAACTTAATTTGCCCATCATCATTATTCTAATATTATTATAAAATTAGAACAAATTAATATGATCATTATAAATTTTATTGCTTATATAGCTTTATCCAATTTGTAATTATGATTCTAAATTATTACAAATTAGTAGATGTACTTTTTACATTTGCACTTAGATCACTTACTTTGGATTATAAATTATTACTAATAATAAAAGTAATCTTATTAAATTAAAGATAACATTGTGACTTCTCATAACATTCAGTACACTGTACCCATGTACTATTTTAATTATTTATTAAATTAATAATACATGGTTTCAATTGAGTATGGCATAACATTAGAATTGTGGATCAGACTTGCCAACTGTTAAAGGAATTACTTGATTGGCAAAATTACTTATTTTTTATCAAATTTACTAAAACATTAAATTTCTTAATTAATAAATTTTATATTTGACTAGCTTACTAAAGCATTTATATTCATGATTATAAAATAATTATTATAATCAAATATTTTTACATATTAATATATAAAGAATTTATACAGAATTTGATAGAAAATATAACTTTATAACAAAATATAATAAAGAACATTGTTATTAACTTTTAAACAGTTTACAAATAATATAGATCATCAATGACAAGTCAAAGATTGTTTTTTAAATAGATTTTTCAAGAAATGTCCAAATTAGAGTTGGCAATGCTAATATGGGTATTTTATCCAATAGGTTTAATATTGCATATTTAGTGATCAAGACTTTATTTATCTTGGTTTAGATATTGATAATAAAACGAGTACTTTCATAAGTTTAATTTATGATAAATTTTTACCAAGTAATTTTACAGTTATTTAGCTTGATATTATAGTTGATAAAATAGAAACCCCGTTTATTATAGTATTTATGTAACTTAGAGTAAAATCAAATTTCTTTTTAAACAGGTAATAACTATCAACAGATTAATAAATTATTATTAAACTTATAATGATAAACTTATAGATTTTATATTTAAAATTGATATACAAATATCTATAGCACATGTTAACTTATGTTTAAAAGTTGTAAAGGTATATAAAGCAACTGTAATACCGTAGATCAATAATAAATGTATTTTCCAAAATAGAATACAGCATTAATTATAAATTTTTCATATAATTATGAAATTATTTGGTAAGTTCTCTCTCTCTCTCTCTCTCTCTCTCTCTCTCTCTCTCAAATTATTTGTATATTTTGCAGTTAGCCAGCACGTATGTTTACTATTGATCACACAATGTATATCCGGAATATACACTATGAACAATTGCCCAGTTGACGATACAATTTTCGAACCGTGTTCATGTAGCAAATTTGTACAAACATCAATAACGTGTTCAAGCGACAAAATCACCGACATCGGCTCCCTATTCAAAAACATTAGCATCAAACTGAATGGCACGGATAAGACATTTAGCAATCTGCAATTCGATAACCAAATAGATGGTATAGAGGTGTCCGCCGGCGCGTTTGCCGATATAAAATTCACCAATATTGTAATTACCGGCACTTATAAACCTATTGGAAAACTAGATAGCCAGGCGCTGGCCGGCACAGCGCACACACTGAGCGAATTGTCTCTTGATAAATTAAATTTAAAAAACAGCTCGGACATTTTTGCCTTATTTAAAGTTCTGCCAGAGTTGCGAGCACTGCGACTAGGTAGCACGCGCGTTCGAGTGGTACCCACAAACGCGTTTGCAAGGGCAAAAAGTTTACACACGGTAAATTTTAGCGGCGAAAATTGGCCGATAATTGACCGGATTAGTAGCAGCGCGTTCGCCGGGTTAGGCTCTAGCATACGTTCGGTTAGTTTTGCCGGCGTAAACATCTCGGTAATCGACGACCAGGCGCTGGCATTTGATGGCCCGCTGACATCAAATGTGCGTTTAATTTTTACCCATGATACGTTTTGCATGTCTAATACTAGTAAAACAGCATTCACCGGTGGCACTCGACCTGTCACACTTGAATTGGTGACAATACTGAATTCAGCACATGTTTTACATTATCTGGATTTTACCGTATTGTCGGGGTTTATGACCGCCAATAAGGCTAATGAGTTGATAGCGCACGTGGACTGCGATGAGTGCCGTAATCAATGGCTTCAGAGACCGGAGTTTGTCCGACAAGTGACGGGTATTTACTGTACGAATGGCCGCCCATTGAGTGATGAACGTAATTTTGCCGGGTGCTAATTTTAAATAAACATTACAAATAAATAAATTATTATGTTCAATATTTAATTTAATAAATAGAATAACATTAGGACTGTTGTTATTTAAACAGTCTCATTTTTTGTTATCTAATCATCCTTATAAATCAGCCTTATAAAAGTAATTCAATATGGCTAAAGTGGGCAAATAAAACATTTAATAAACAACCTTGATAAAATACAAACTATTGTTATTATGAATTAAACCACATATTATAAATTGTAATAATTAATAATTATTTTATAAACAGTTTGTTTAAAATATTAAATAATAATTAACAATTGCAAAAACCGGTTAAGATATAATGTATGAATGCACTGTTTGTGGTGATGAAGCATATGGTGAGCTCTCTCTCTCTCTCTCTCTCTCTCTCTCTCTCTGATTATTTATTTTTAATGGTATTTAATAATAGGCTATAATTATGAGTCCATAACATGTCTCTCCTGTAAAGAGTTTTTTCGGCGCAATGTATTAACAAATGATGTAATTATTTATAATTTTATTCATTTTATTGTAATAATTATAACATAAATTTAAAAGACATTTCATTTAGGTATTAATTTGTCGTTTGGATAATAACTGTAATATTAACGTGAAATCGCGAAAAAGTTGCCGTAAATGCAGATTTGATAAATGTATTAAAATGGGAATGAACAGGGTTGGTTAAATTACCATGATTTAATGTTATAGTTATAAGTATTGTATATCATTTTTACTTTTTATTAGCGGTACTTAATTTACTGTCAATTAATTAATTTTTTGTAATAATTATAGAGATATGTAAATATGAAATCTCTGAGCAAATCCTGTCACGTGATTGCGGCCAAAGTGGAGCTCATAAGTAGTAATAAATTTAGAACAATAACAGATGATCACCTTGATGAAATAGAAACAAGCCAGCACCTTATACAAACTATTAACCGCCCGGTGACCGACTACTCAAACCAACTGAACGAGTTAGAGGGCCAGCGATTGACTGAACTACTAAACGCTGGTCGAGTGTTTGTGGAACACCATGTAGCCAAGGCCTGGGCCGAGATGCATTATCCAAATATTAATCACGTCATACTGCAGAGATTTAATATGCAACTAGGTCGTTTTATACAAATGTCCAACGAGTTGAGCGAGTTTCGTGATTTGTGTCATAACGATCGCATTTCCCTAATTAAGTATGGCTGTATGGATGTGTATTTTATGCGCTCGGTCAATAATTATGACAATCGCGAACAGTATTGGACTGCCATTATGGTAATTACTAATTAATAATTAAATCTTAAATCAATATTGTAATCTAGATGATAATTGTAGATTTTAGCGTGTTATTTTTTACGGTCTAAATATTGCAATACGCTAATTATGTATTGTGCAATATTTGTACTATGCGTAATAATTTTCTAATTATGGTAATTTAATTTCTGTTTTTTGTTGTACAGGAAAATAGTCATTCAGTGATCGTACGGCTCGAGTCAATGAGATATTTTAAGCGTAACCTTTATGGTTTATATAAATTGTTTTTAGACTATATGTTTAATAGCTGGGACTCGGATCCGGTGGTGTTGGACCTGGTACAGTTCAAAAATGTATAATTTAAATATTTACCACATTCTAACACTATTAATTTATTTTAGTTAACAGCTATCATATTGTTTAATCCGAGTCGACCCAATTTAATTCACAGGGATGCCATTAAGTATAAAACATGCACTATTAACCTAGATAAATTAAAAAATTAATTATTTTTATAATTTTAGATTACATCAACAAATATATATACATTTATTACAACGTTATTTGCAATTGAAATACCGATCAAAAGGGGAATCGCAGTTAAAATGCTATAATTTACTCGAATGCTTGCTTCACTGCCAAACACTTTCA